ATTTCTGAGTCTGAATTATTATTATTATTACCCTTAAAGGTTAAACAAAAATTTTATTTGGGAAAATACGTATATAAATATAAAATATAAAATATATTTAAGTAAGCTTTAAGTGAAGTCTTGGTCAAATAAATTATAAATTGTTATCATAAATGGTAAATAAAAAAAAAAACTGAACTCCATTACTGAATTTTAAACGGGAATTTGAAGCAGAAAAATAACTGTACACTACTTTACGCCGTGTTGGACGCTCTGTCACAGCGCTACATGTTTGATGATGTCACTGCTACACTGGAGCACCTCTTCCGCAGAGCTGCCTTGAGATCCTTGCAGGAAACAAAAAAAATATATTCAACTAAAGCTGTGACTCCCATTTTTTTAATTATATTTTTACTGCGATATTTCCGAGACTACTAATGAGTTTTTATTTAGTTGCTGCGTTTAGCTTTAAACGTCGTGCTTGTTTTATAGGACCGCAGTGGGGTCCTTTACTCGTTCAGGACCTTCAGGCATCGCCTCCATTCAGCCATTGTAGTAAAGCTTGTGCGGAATTCTGCGGCGGTGGTTTGTTATGATCTGTGTGTGATTTCACAGATTCCATATGCTGCTATGTGACTCAAATTAGCAGACATACTTCGGTGTCAGCTCGAACGATTCTTTTGTCGGCGAGGAGCAGGGCTGTAATGTCTGGAGCTGTCGGTGGAGGCGGAGGAGCAGGAGGAGGAGGCTCCCCTTATCTGGGCGCAGCGGCAACAGCTAGCTGCAACTCCGCCGGCTCCCCCTACGCTGCAGCAGCCGGAGGAGGCGCAGGGGTGGCCGGGTGTCTGCCAGCCCGGGTCCTGGAGCATGTTTTCTCCTATCTGGAGCTGTCTGACCTGATGCAGTGTTCGCTGGTGTGCTGGCACTGGAACAATATCCTGGCGGATGAAAACAGCGAGGTGTGGCGCAGCCTCAGCAGCCGGAGTCTGAGCGATGAAGCTCTGCGGTCTGATATTCTGTGCAACCTACCTACCTATAAAGGCAAAGTAGGTCTAACACAACTTCTTCTTATTATTATTATTCACCAAACTAGACTGCCTTTATAATTCTACCATTGTTATACCAAACTGCCTTCAGCGGGAGTTCATACCACGTACGCCAGAAGACCTTGGAGTTTCATAACTCGTCTTATGTAAATAACATTTACGTGTAAATATGTACATGCACACAATTTCCGAAAATGGTAAGGTGGCGTTTGGTGCACAATTGTTTACAGTCAGGATAGTAACTGTCTCGAAGGATTAAGACGGTCCTTGATAATAATAGCGTCCATATTTCTTAGGTCAGGAATGAAAACATTTGACCAATTTTTTAAACTTTCATTTTTATCTTGTTGCTATGCTCAAATGCCATAGCACAAGTGCGGGCAAACTATGGCTTTAAACTTTCATTTTTATCTTGTTGCTACGCTCATACACTTAGCACAAGCGTGTGCAAACTATGGCCTCGGGGGCCAGATGCGGCCCATTTGGATTATTAATCCGGCCAGCCAAACTTATCCAAATTATGTTATTGATTTCTATTAACATTATACTAAAGTATTTTCCCTGCAGTTCCCACATTTGCCCAATAGATGGCGTAGGAAAAAAAAGGCTAAACCAATTTTAGCATTTTATCCTGTATGCATGTCTTTTAAATGTCATTTGTCTACCCATTGTGGCCGGCGAGTCAGAAAGTTTGCCCACGCCTGCGCTAGCATGTCCGTTGTCAGACAAGCCTGTAATTTTTGAGCAAAAACGCGTACATCTGAATTCACTCGTGAGTGACTTGGTACACTAACGAATCGGTCAACCGGTGTTCTGTCGTCCGCAGCTAAAGGCTTACCAACATGCCCTCAGCTCACACGACTGCTCTCGCAATGTCTACGTGAAGAAGAACGGCTTTACCCTGCACCGCAACCCCATCGCCCAGAGCACAGATGGCGCACGTGGCAAAATTGGCTTTTCGGAAGGGCGGCATGCCTGGGAGATCTGGTGGGAAGGCCCCCTCGGGACAGTGGCGGTAATAGGGATTGCCACCAAGAGGGCGTCGATGCAGTGTCAGGGCTACGTAGCACTTCTGGGCAGTGATGACCAGAGCTGGGGCTGGAACCTGGTGGACAACAACCTGCTTCACAACGGCGAAGTTAACGGGAATTTTCCTCAGTGTAACAACGCACCCAAGTATCAGGTAAGAGCCGGAGACAAATCTGCATGTTTTTTTTTTTTTTTTGTTGTTGTTTTTTTTCACGATATTGGAAAGTCAGAATGATCCTGACGATGCAATAATTTGTCAACAGATCGGGGAAAGAATTCGAGTCATTTTAGACATGGACGACAAGACGTTAGCCTTCGAAAGGGGTTTCGAGTTTCTCGGAGTAGCGTTCCGTGGATTGCCCAAAGTCTGCCTCTTCCCCGCTGTCTCCGCTGTGTATGGCAATACTGAGGTGACCATGGTGTACCTGGGAAAACCTCTGGACGGCTAGGTGCGGAACGCATGCCACTGTTTTTAACTAACATGCTGCCAACGTGTACAGGACTTCTGTCAGCAGAGTGCCAGCAATGGTTTTTTTTGCACCCCGGAGACTCACGTACCCAAAGATAACTGTTGGAATTTCTACTACAGCTGCACATAAACCATGGATCAAGGATCTGTTTTTTAACAACAAACACAAAGAACAGATGAAAAACCATACAATTGTGCCCAAATCAGAGTGGAGTTCATCTGCTGGACTTTTCTTTTTTTTTCTTTTTTTTTTCTCCATACAAGACGTTGATGTAATAGCGTCAAATGAGGCCAACTATTCTTAGGCTGTGGCAAACTCTTTGAGACATCTTTAATGTGACAAAGTTGACGGCGTACAAGCTAGCAGAAACCGTTTATAGCAGTAAAACCTCAACAAGTGACTTTTCTATTATGGGTTGTTTTTTTTTTGTTTTGTTTGTTTGTTTTTTTGTTTGCCAAATCGATCAGATCTAAGGTTGTATCGTGATAAAGGCCAATAGGCTGCAGGGACCATCTGTCGTGCATGAGCATGGACACTGGTGGGTGGACTGAAACACTCGTCCTTTTAACAAAAACATTCAGTAATGGTTATATAAAAAAAAAAACAAGAAATTGAAATAAACTATGTCTATTTCTTATTGTGTCCTTTAATGTGCTACTGTAGTATTAAACACTATTTATTGGTTTTATCTATGGTACTATCCATCTGTATGATATAAAGGCCTAAAAAATAAAGTCTACATGGTGCCACTCTTAAAAATAGTAATTTTCTTTATTTCTTTTTTTTTGCATTTTGTTGCACACTGGCGCTAAATACGGTATTCGCTGCGCGGCGAAACTAGCTTTGCTCCATATTTGCGTTCACACAAAAGTGACACTGCACTCGCTCCTCAACTAATTAACTAACCCACCTCGATATACGGGTTTAGATCCCCGATTAACTAAGTCGAACGCAATGCCATAAAAGCTACTACGCTACCAATCACATGACATTGTGTCGGTGTCCGTTTAGCAATCGCGCAAAATATTTTACGCCATCTCCTGAATGTGAACAAACAGGTATCGAGTGCACATTCCCGGATTAAAGGTCAATGTGAAGTTGTATTTGCTGTGCTTCAACTACTACGGGATCAAATACTGTATTACCTAATATTTGATACACGCAGTCAAATATGTGTTGTTGGTGTTCATGGCTGTTTTTTTTTTGTTTGTTTGTTTGTTTGTTTTTTTTACAAAGATGGACCATTATTATTATTATCAAAGCTAACGCTATTTTTACAAAGATGGACCATTATTATTATCAAAGCTAACGCTAATGCTAACGAGTTAGTCGTTATTATTACTATTATACCTGTATATTTCATCACTGTGTACTATAATCGCAGGATTATTTATTTAATCAGAATTTAAAATATCAGCCAAGTCCTTGCAAAATGTAATAAATGTTAGCGTTTGGACACTGGATTTTTGATTCTGAGTTTGGGTGTTTGTTTTTTTTTCTCATCACGGCTGGTCGATTCAGTAAATATTATTCAGGACGGGGACTGATATTGTCGTGTCATCATCCAGCCTTCTCAATGTCAGTGCAGGTATCTTTGTGTATTGAATAACACTGGTCGAGGAAAGAACAGTGCCCCACTTAGAGACGCTCTCAGCCCAAAGTACAGCAGAGGAAGACAGCAGACACTACGTTAATGGACGCGGAGTAGCTTCGAGACTTCAGCCAGTTTACGATTATTGCTATTATAATGCATGTTAAGAGCTTTTCGGACTTCTCTTAAGCTTTTAGAATAATAATAATCAAAATATATAAGCAGTTAAAAAAACTTTTGTATAGGTAATTTTTTACGACCTTATTTGTATTACAGGTGACCCCACGTAGGGCTGCGACCCCAAGGTTGAAAAACACTGGACCCTGCTCGAAAGACCCCAAGGTTGAAAAACACTGCTCTAAATCAGGGCCGGCTCTTGGCATAGGTGATATAAGAGGTCGTCTGGACTCTGCTCTAAAGCATCATAACCATCATAGCAGGTCTCACTACTGTCTTCCCTTTCTTTCCTCCAACTTCGCCCTTCCCTCACGACACATGACGACGTCATCTGCAAACACGTTGACAGATAATGTCCACATGTTCGTCACCTGAACCTACAGTATCGGCTGCTCTTACTGCCTTATACACGCTCCGTACCATCTTCACATACTTCTTGGCCACTCCTGACTCTCTAACACATTCTCGACATTCCTCCCGAGGCACCTGATGATATCTTACTCTGGTTCCATACTTCTCTCACTTTTGTGAAAATCTCCACTGTAGTACTTTTTTATTATTATGTTTTTTTAAGATGTCTAATTAACTCTACTAATGATAATAAAATAAAATAAAATAAAATAAAATAAAATATGAAAAGAATTCTTTCTACGTCACATTCGATTATGATAGTAGCAAAAAAATATAAAATATATATTTATATATATATAAAAAAATTGTCTGACCGCACAATGTAATATCTTATGTTTCCACAAGAGGGCAGTGATGTGCAACTACAACTACCAACTAATCGATCAAATTTGTGCCTTAAAGGAAAAACAAAACATTGGGAAGACTTATATATTATATATGTATGTATATTATATATATATATATATATTTATGGATATAAATATATATATATATAACTTTTTTTTCAAAGAACTCAGTGGATCTTGGTATTAGTACGCAATTGCTTAACAATTCAACGATCAGAAATTTTTTTATTTTTTTTTTGCTTTTTAACAACATTGATTTCTACACTACTAAGTCTAAACGGGGCCTGTACTGCATTACTGTATCTAGAGACGGGTGAGCGAAAGGGGAGGAGGGGCTGATCATGCCATTGCATAGAGCTGTAATTGAGGCAAATGGTGAAACTAATAAACAGGAACTTTGGTGGTATGACACAGGAAAAGTCTCGAAAAACAAACACAGGAGTAACCTGAGTTAACATACTGCACATTGGTGTGAGTATTTTGTACTTCACCGCACAACGTATTTACCAAAACCAGCATTCCACGTCGTGAGAAAAAGAAAACGTGTATCAGTGACACAAGCGGGGTAAAATGTGAAATATGTTCTTCTACACACACACACGCACACATACGCACACACTGTTATGCAGTCAGTCAGAAGTGAGACCTGCAGATGTCCAGTGTGAAAACAGGAAGGAATCACCAACAAAATCAACTCTCCAAAGACGGGACCATCACTTCCTGTTTCCTAATTCCCTATTTGTTTTTCCACAAAAAGGCAGCAGTGAAACAAAATATGACATTCATCTAAGAAAAAAGAGAGAGACAATAACACTCTCGGTGAGGTGAGGTTTTGGACACAGAAACGTTGTGTTCGCCACCGTTGGCCGCCTCGCTTGGTCTCCCTTCCGTTCACCGTCCTGTTTTCCGGACCGAGGGACGCTCGGCCTTTTAATTTTGTAAACATGTTTCATAATTGCGTTGGGTGTAAACGAGTTCAGCAACAGCTGTTGCAGCAGGAGGCCGACAGTCAGGCAGGAAGGGTGTGTGCTCCGAGCGGTTTCCTCTCTTGTTGGTTGAATGATGTGAAGGGTGTGAAGGGTGATGGGTGTGTTGTCACAGGGTTTTTGTGGTAGCACTTGTGTTAGAAAACCTGCCGCTACTATTTCGATGTTAGAAAAGAAAAAAAAAAAAAAAAAGAGAAAAAAGGAGAAGGAGAAACAAAAAAAAAAAAACCCCAAAACCTCTGCACTGGCGTTTGAGCCTGCGTTTGCCTTCCTTGTGCCCTCCCTCCCCCCCCCCCCCCCCCCCCCCCCCCGCGCGGCTTAAGAACCTCTTCTTGATAGCTGCCTGTCCATGTGACTCGGTTTCCGTTTCTCGCCTGCTTCCGTGAATAGTAAAAAGAGGCATCGGTGGTTGAGCGAGACCAGAGTCAGGAGGCTGAACTTCTCAGATGAGAAGACGCTCTGCAGCAGCATGTCAACCGGCACTATGGCCAGGGGATCAACCATCAGCGGCGTGGGAAATCTACACCTAACCGCTAGCGTAAGTCAATGCACCGTGCACTGAACGATAGCGCAGCCTTGTGCCTTTGTGAGAACAAAGGGGAACCAGAGTGTCTTAGTTGATGAATCAAGCTGGTCAGTGAGGTCTGCCTTCTGTGGACTCCCTTCAATGCCATGACTTTATTTTACCACACGGACGTAGTGGATTTTCTTCTTCAATCAGGTTCAACCACTTCTGCACGTTATTATCTAATGCTGTGACCTGCATCTTGACCCACAGATGTGACTTTTTTTTGAAAAAAAAAACAAAAACAAACTTGCAAGTAAAATAACTTGCAAGCTTGCCAGTGGCTCACTGTGGTTGTTTATGTATTTACTGTCAATATACTCCGCTTTTGTTCTTAGTATCCTGCATAAAAAGACCAGGGCATAAAATCTGTTATTTGTCAAAACTGATCACATGACTTGAATGTGTTCAACACCACAGATCACTTTACTTAATTACGAAACATTTATCCATGTGAAAAAAATTATGCGAAATTATGCCTGAAATGACATGGTCTACTGGGAAGAAATATTTTCCTGAATCTACAGAACTAAAATTCACAAAAAAAATAATCAGTGTCCAGGGAGGTACTTTGTGGTACTTTGACTTTTGTATTTTACAGATTTTTTTTTTTTAAGACGAAGATGGAGTTTTAATGGAGATTAAAATGTACAGACTGATTTGTGTGTTTTTTTTCTTCTTTCTGTCCCATCAACAGTAAAGATGTTAAAATGTCAGTCCACGGACTCACGCTCATCCTGCTGTGCTGGTTACCACTGAGGATTCTCCTGACCCCGGTCTCCAGTCATCCGCAGCTCAGTCACTGTCGACTGGTAAGACGTCGCCACATGAAATGAATATGTGTGGGTTTTATGTTTTAATTCTGATCAGTATTTAGATTAAAAAAAAAAAAATTACAAAACTACATGTGTGAACGTCTTAGTCATAAAAATAAATGTGATCGATGATTTTTGTGGGTTAAAGATGCAGCTTTTTCACGCAGAGCCCACGGATTTATATTTCATTATACTGTATGTGATGATGTATGTATTTACACAAACGTTTCTACTCCTATATTTGGAATGAATCTATAATAAAACATAGTTATATATATATGTATATAGTATGTAGTCCAATATATGTATATATTTAGATTAACATATATTTATACGCACATACATATATACATACATATACTGTATGTACATATATGTACATATATATGTATACACATATATACCTATGAATATGAATACAAACGTAGCATATATACAGCATATCTAAACACACATATGTACATATACATACTGTATATACATATGAGCAGAATATATGCTACTGTCTAAATACAATATATGTACATATATATAGCCTATATATACATATACATATATATACACATACATGTTTATATAGGTGCATATATGTATATATTGGTCCATTTACTGTCTAAATACAATATATGTACATATATATAGCCTATATATACATATACATATATATACACATACATGTTTATATAGGTGCATATATGTATATATTGGTCCATTTACTGTCTAAATACAATATATGTACATATATATAGCCTATATATACATATACATATATATAAATATATATACATATATGTTTATATAGGTGTATATATGTATATATTTGTCCATTTACTGTAGCCATTTTTGATGCTGGAGTTTTAATAACATGAGTGACGTATGTGTTCAAATGTGTATTCAGTCTAATGCGTCAAGAGTTTTAGGGAAAATCCAGGCTTAAGAAAGCTGGGCCATTGTCTCTGTCTCTCTCTCTCTGACTAACTCTGATGTTATCACTGCTGTGGAGGCTAAAGTTGAAACTTTAGGGAGACAGGTGATGTCTCATTCGTTTACAGCCGGTCAATCAGAGGTCACATTCAACAAAATGTACAAATCCTTTGGTATTATAGACAGTATTATAGATAGTACCACATACAGGCACATACAGGTTCTGGACTGACCGGCCTGCGGTCTAGATACTACTACTACTACTACTACTACTACTACCACCACTACTACTACTACTACTACTACTACTACTACTAATAATAATAATAATTATTATTATTATTATTATATACTATAATTATTATACATCAAGACAAATTATTTGATAAGGTGCTTTACATATATATATACATACAAATATATATAAATAATAAAACCATTGTAGAACGTGATGTTCAATGGATTGAGTTATTGTTTTTTCCTTTTCATTTCAAGTGATATATTATATTAATATATTAATTCACCGTGTGTATAATAATAATAGTAATAATAATAATTAATATTATATACTATAATTATTATACACCAAGACAAATTATTTGATAAGGTGCTTTACAAATATATATACATACAAATATATATATATAATAAAACCATTGTAGAAAATGACCATTGTAGAAAATGATAACATTTTCGTAGCTGTATCTTAAAGTTCTTCTTTGTGCAAAGTATTATAAAGTTGTTCATAACATAAAGATCATTTTCCTCTAACATAGATTAGACTCACAACTCACGTTTGCAGACGATACTTCATTTTTGCCGCCTATTTTTTTTCTCCGCCAGATCCAAAGAACGGCGCTCTGCAACAACGCCAACGTCTCCTCAGTGCCTTCAGGACTGCCAGGCGACACAGAGGATCTTCAGCTGAACAACAACCACCTGGAAACACTACAGGACGATTCCTTGCTCCTCTACCCTTCACTACTGAGCCTTAGTTTAGCCTGCAACCTTTTGACAGAACTAGAATCGAACGCCTTTCAAAATTCACCATCTCTAAAATCCCTAAACCTGGCAAACAACAGGCTTCACATGGGCGTCTCGCAAACCAGCCTTGCCTTGAAAAAGTTACCGCATCTTCGGGCTCTCGATCTGTCCGTGAACAAGCTGGGGGGTGAGATGCTCACTACTCTTCTCCAAAACCTGACATCCTTGGAGTACCTCAACCTTTCCGGAAACCTCCTGATGAGACTGGATGAAAGCTCCTTCAGTGACCTCCACCAGCTCAGGGAGCTGGACCTCCAGAGGAACGTCATCTTTGAGATCGACGACGCCTTCCAGAGCAACGCCAAGCTCCAGCGGCTCAATTTGGCCTTCAACTACCTGCCGTGCTTGACCGACTTCCGAATGACTCAGCTGGTCGTCCTCAACGCCAGCCACAACTTCATCGAGTGGTTCATCTCCAGGCAAGACCTGGACGACACGTTCCAGTTGGAGACGCTCGATCTCACAGACAACAAACTGCTTTTCTTTCCCTTCCTCCCTAGCCACAGCCGTCTACGGAACCTGTATCTGGCCCACAACAATCTGCGGTTCTACGAACACCTGGCGGACAACGTGACGAACCCAAACCTAACTACCACTGTGGAATTCTACAATCTGAACAAGGACACGGGAAACGTGACTGCTCAGTTGTGGAACGAAGGTCTGCACGGCGACATCTCCTCTCTGGAGATTTTAGATCTGAGGGTGAACCAGGTGCAGTATTTTCCGGAAGGATTCATCGGGAAGATGTCTGCGTTGACTCGACTGCAGATGCGCAAAAACTGTCTGGAGTCGTTGAATCTAACGGAGGGCTTCTCTGGCAGACTGTACGAGTTGGACATCAGCGACAACAGGCTGAACCAGATCTCTGTGGACGCAGAAACGCTGGCCGTTCTCAGCAACCTAACATACTTTAACCTGAGCCTTAACAACCTCGAGCGGTTGCCCTCAAAGTTGTTTTCCTCGCTGCCAAGCCTCAGATCGGTGGATCTCAGCTTCAACGACGTGGACGTTTGCGTTTCCGAAGACGCCGCCCCGATCAGGGCCGACAACGTCTCGTCGTGCGTGAGTTGGCGAGACGTCGCGTACCTCGAGCAGCTTTACCTCAAAGGGTGCAACCTCGAAATCATCCCGCCTTCGGCGTTTTCAGGGTTGTCGCTGACACACCTGGAACTCTCGGATAACCCTGGACTCCAGGTCCAAGGATCTATACGAGGTCTCGGTAGGACTCTGCAACACCTAGGTCTGGGAAACACTCAAATACGAGACTTGGACTTCTCCCACTTCGAACACTTGAAGTTTTTAAACATCTCGGCCAACAATCTTGCCGACCTCCCTTCATCGCTCCTGGATCTCGACCTGAAAGTGCTGGACATAAGGGACAACAGATTGTCCACCATCCCTAGGAGTCTGGCAAACACATTAGCCCCCAAACTTCAGTTGGTTTTCCTGGCAGGAAATCCCTTCAGCTGCTGCCAAACCGAATGGTTCAGGACCTTTGAATCAACGAAAACAATGACGATGGTGGAACAATCGGACATTAGATGTGAAGACCTGCTCCTGACGACACACAGGGTCCAGAACCTGCGGTCGTCGGTGTGCCTGGACGATCGCGGCGAGACGTACATCCTCTGGTACCTCCTGCTGTTTTTACCCATATGTCTGTCCTTTGTGGGCATCTTGTTCATCTTCCTTCTCTCCTTCAGGCCCAAAACGCTACAGAAATCGATTAAAAAGAGGTGTCTGAAACGTTCGTCTTACTGACACTGACAGTTGTGGAAATAAACATTGACTTTATATATATAAAAAAAACACTGACACTGACAGTTGTGGAAATAAACTGACTTTATATATATATATTAAAAAAAAACAAAAACAAATGTCAGCATTAATTTAGAGGTTATATGTTTGGTGGTGATGTTATATAATTTGTTTTTGTGTGTGTGAATGTGTGTGTTTCTCAGTGTGGTTTTTCTCACGAAATATGATTCTGGATCTTATCCTAATGTAAATATGTGGCTTTTGTTCTCGCGGATGCATGTATGTATGTGTGTGTGTGTGTGTGTGTGTGTGTGTGTATCAAGATATGCAGAAGTAATGTGATGCAATCAGTTGCTATAACCAGCAGAGGAAACATGAAATTTCCTGTTTTGCTAAGATGTGCAACTGCCCAGTTATGTGCGAGAGGGAGGAGGGGGTTAAGGTCTCTCTCACGCTGGGACACAATGATGTGAAATTCCAAGTGTCAAATGTCCGGACGGATTTATTTTTACGTTTAATCTGCATCATGCTATACGTTTTTTTTTTGTTTTTTTTTCACAATAAAAAACAGTGGCACAGTATACATTATATACAATGCATACATATTCTATATATACTACATATGCTACATGGATACATATATGTATAGCAAATATATACATATATGTGCGTAAATATATATATATAAATATATGTAGTACATGCACAGTATATGCATTGTATGCGCCATCATAGCCGAATGTGTCAATGTGTCTGTGTATGTATATATATATATATATATATTTTTATATACATTACAGTATTAAAAAGGACTGGTGAAGACGTCAACAGCAGCGTTTTGAATGTGCGGCATATTTTTCCCTGGTTGTGTGCACGTGAGTAGCTGCAGAGAGTTGAAGGCTTAACCAAAATGTAACCATAATACCACTGCGGGGATGCTGAGGGTCATGGTGGTTGAACATAAAAAAAGAGAAACTGGAGTGCAGAGTTGTTACAGCCTCACACTTTTGTACACCTTTCCAAAACCTACTATTGGAAATTGGAGTAGAAATATATTACCAAAAAAAAAAAAAGTACCTTTTAAACTTGCCTTGGCATTAAATATATCTACTCAGAGCGGCAGGTGGATACGTGTTGTTTTTCCTGAGTCGTTAAACACGTGGCTAACAAGAGGGAACTGACAAGATAGAACTGTCAAATTAATTATCATATAAGATATCACGAGGTAGCTGTGAATTAATCACAACTAATCGTGAGTAATCGTTAGCACAATCGATCACGATCCAAATAAATCAGCAATCAGAAATATGGATCTGTAATTTAACGCATGAACATTCTTGATAGCAAATAATCGCGATTAATCGAGATTCATCAACAATTCCAAGAATGTCCGATATTAACTTTTTGCCAATGTCCGATATGCCGATAATGTCCAAACGCTTAATTTCCGATTCCGATATCAACCGATACCGACATATGCAGCCGTTTGGGTTACAATTCTTACGCTACTGCATAATTAAGCTAACATCGGCCGACGGACATCGCTAAACAAGGCTTATTTAAATGAAATCGATGCAGCTGAACTCTGTAGCTGTATTCACAAATGTAAATCCTTTGCTGAAGAACAAACGCCATAATACGTAACATAATATTATCGCGTAGCCTGTTTGTTTTAACGGCTAAAGAAAAACGCATTCTCTCACCGAACAGATTTTCCTACAAACAAAAGATGTCCAATCCATCTTCGGTTTACAAAAACCTTAAATAATTTCACTCCATTTTATCTTTAAGCAGCTTTTTCAGCTATATTGTTCAAGTTCTCCCGGATGTGCGAGCTGTTCCTTTTTGAGTTTTCGCTAATCCAGCGAATTATTTCGAACACCAAAACATCATCAAGGATGCTGATCGGAGAAAAAAAAACTCCTGCAGCCAAGTCATCATCATTTGAGGAAGCTACTCTGTTACTGGTAAGAAATTGTTGACCGAAGGGATTTTCAGTTGATTGCTCAACCATATTGGGGTCGGCAGTAAGAATAGAGGTGAAAAAACTGGCTTAAATGTTGACAACAACGGCAGCCATATTGGTAAAGAAACCCTGAAAGAAGCTAATAATCAAATATCTGTGGCTTGCACGACAGTGTAGCAAAAATGGGGGAAATGTATTAGCATTTCGTACTGACATCTCTGGTACAGAAATAGTCAAATATAGCAAAAACATTTTACATTTAACCATTTTTTAAACATCATATACTTATTTGGTTCATTTTGTTTCTTGAAAACAGGGTTTTCTTTTTGTGACAAAAAGATGTGTGAGAAAATGTTACGTTTTCTGTTGTGTACAGCACGAGCTTCACTCTTACCGTTAAACATCTTTTATGGACTTTGTTAATTTTTCTAAGCAAAAAGTTTGAGTATTTAATAATTGCTACATTTCGTTAAACTCACTGTCACTGTCAAAAACCCGTTTTGCGCTAGCTAGCTACCGGGCTAGCTTGAGAGTAGGTTATCAGCAGGCACAAATCGCTAGGTTTACACAGATTTAGCCTCCGTCACGCTGTAGTTGCAGGTGTCACACGAAGTCCACGTACGGTTCAGGACTAGTGTTTATTAAAAAAAAAACAACAACAAAAAAATTCAGATTACTTTTTGGTGCTTTCGTCCTTATCTTCCCTCCAATTTTATGAGCTCCCCCAGCCCGCGCCCCCCACTTTGAAAACCACTGGTCCACAGCTTCATGTACTGGGGACGCGTGTTGTCTGAAGAAAAGTTCAGACGACACGCGATAAGTAGTAACTACGTTTTTAATATAGTAAAACCAAAGAGGATGAAATATTCTACATGAGCATATGTAAGAATATTTTGTCCTCTTATTAAACCATTTTCGGAAGCTGCCTCATCTGATTGGTAAAATCATAAGCAAATAAGCCCTGATGTTGCCTGCCTGCACAGATAATCAGTCAAGTGAGATTGGTATCTAAAACACTTCCTCTTACTCAACCATTTGCCTGACGGGACCAAACCAACAACTACCGAATACTGATCGACCACGACCTTTAAGAACCTAGGTAGAAAAGGTCGAGTGTAGCAGCTGAGGACGGAAGAGAAAGTCACAGAGCAAGTAGAGGAATGCTGTTGTATGGTCTGCCCTCCAGTGGTGCAAAGAGTGAAACAGAAACGTTCAGAGAGAAGACAACATTCATTTTTTTACACGTTATGTAATATTTATTTGACTGCACCATACTGCAGCCGATACAGGAAAAAAAAAAAAGACAACATCTCCCAGACTGCAACGGTAACTTAACGGGAAACTGGGTTGAAATGAAGTGAGAGGAAATGATGACGTATTTCAGTCCCCAACACCTGAGGGTCAAGATGCGTCGTAGTCAAAACGTGTATGAAGGTCAGTCAAAAAGTTGGAGTACAGAAGTCGGTTTAAAATAATAATAATAATAAAAAAATCTGCATCATATTTATATCAGTTGTTGTGCTGTATTATATATTTTTTTATAATCAGGATTTCCAACCTTTAAATATTCTCTTTAAATTTTAAAAAAGACATTGCATTTTTTTTAACCAAACTTAAATGGATTTCTGTTAAAACTATTTTTAAAAAAAATTTTTTTAATTGAAAAAAATATTTTTAAGTAAAAAAAAAATCTGCAAAAAAAAGCAGATTATTATCTATTGATTATCTGGGAATTTTTTTTTTCTCTCTAATCTGTCTTCAAACTTTTCAAATTACATCATCGGATAAATAGCACACAAAGGTCCTGAGGACGGCGACCGAAAACCCGAGCACGAAACGGGCGGCGGAACCTCAATACTGCTGGAGTGGCTGCGACGAAGACCAAGCTGGCGTTAACTACTGCAGGTGTCGCTGTGAAAGGCACTTTCAGGTTAGCATGTTGGGCATGACCCGACGAATGTGAACGAACGTGTGTCACGACTTCATTCGTACTGTGCCGTAAAGACACGCAAGCAGCGCAACACGAATAACAAAACACCAAAATATATATATATATATATATAAAAAGAAGGACAACTCATGTTGAGAAAAAAAACCATAAGAGCTACTGCACCATGAGATTATCGATTCTAAAATTAGACTTTAAAAACAACATCCAATCCAAGCATCCATCGCCATTCTTTAAACTGAAGCCCATTTTACCATTCAATCGTATTCCTCTTGTTTTGTTAAAAAAAAAAAAAAAAAAAAAAAAAAAAGAAGAAATTCAAATATATGTTTTGTAAACAGCCATTTTGTTTTTTTAAAAAGTTACAGATAGGGAGACGCTGCGGCGCATATTTTAAATCGCGTGGCACAGAGGAAGCGGGAATCTCACCTTTTTTTTCTTCTTCTTCTTCTTTGTTTTGTACAAATAGAACCACAATGTAAAAAGACTGAAATGGAAGAACGAGCTAGGCCTGTCCCTGCAACACTATATAAATATGTGGCGTCAGCACGGAGGGCTCAGTTGAGGAGCTCCAGGTAGGTGATCGGGACTTTGCCCTTTTGGCTGCCTCGCTCACCCATCAGCCAATCGGAGTCCATGCCGGCGACGCTGCTGACGATGATCACCTGGAAGGACCCACAAAGACAGTGTTAAAAAAATAAAAAAAATTCTAATATATTTTAGACACTATAATTGCCTAGACCAGGGGTTCCCAACCCCTGGTCTAGGGAACGGTGCCAGTCCAAATATCATTTGGTACCGGGCCGCAATGGGACACAGTGAAAAAAAATGAACTTCAGTTTTACTTAATTCGAAAAAGAATCTAGTTTACGATAATCTGGCGATGTTTCAAAACAACGGGTCATTCAGATGCCGATGCTAACAGAAGAAAAGTTGAAAAGTGATTTGAAAATTGAACGATCCCTCAACGGCTGATAGCCGTCGGACCGGTCCGCACCGCTCGGTCTAGGGTTGTGTGAGGGCAGACGGGACAGGAAAATAGTTTTTTCCCCCCAGTGTGTAGTTGGAATGTGTGTAGTGTGTAGAAAAAGTGATGACTGAGGTAATGCCGGTGGAACTGTCGGTCCACCACAAGCCACGGATGGTGTGGAAATTACACAGAAAAGGGGAGGAGTCGGCAGCGTTAAGCGCTGCTTCGTGGAGAACTGGACGCTGAGGTCGACTCGAAAAAAAAAAAGAATCTGCCTGCGAAATGGAAAAATCTAACAAAGATAAGTCTAAGATAAGCAGCTCTCTCTTTATTTCCGTTTGGCCCAAGGAAAGAGCTCCGACTTCGCACTGACCTCGTCGGCCAGCAGGGAAAGCTCGCTGCTGCTGGCGGCGTCGTAGTCGTACAGCACTCTGGCTTTGCGGCTGCCGTTGGAGCTGCGCAGTTCGTTGAAACCGCCCGACGCGGCGGAGCCCCCGCGTCCCGCGGACACGCTGGGCAGAGAGGCCGTCACTGGGATGGTGGGCACCGAGATGCTGGCGCCGCCGGACAGCAACGACTGGTTGTTGTTGGAGAATGACGACGGGAAACTGGTGGGAGACAACGTAGAACTTTTAACTGACCGACATATTTCTGTTTGACACTGTTGATGCGACAAAATCCCAAAAGGTTGGGACGGAAGCGTTCGTCATCATGATACCTACCGTGGAACAGGAAATTGATTTTATTTTTGTCTTCTACTAAATAAGACCACGGCATAAATAAATCTAAAATGTCACGCCCGTTAACACGATGACATCAGGCCCCAAAAATAGCTGAGACGATTCTGCCTGAAACTACAGGGTGTTTCCTCTTTTGCTTGATACAGTTTCGTTGAGACCGACAACAATTTTCAAAATTAGCCTCAGGTGACCTTTGTCAAAAAACAAAACAAAAAAAACCCCCATAAACAAATGAAACCTTTCGATAAAACCGCCAGTTCGCCAGTTGGTTTGACATGGCTGGTTGGACGTGGGTGGGCGTCAAAGCGTCTCTCACCTGCCCAGCTGCTTCTGGAGGTCCACCATGTACTGGTAGCACTGTGCGTAGTACGTAGCCTGGGCCTCCACGAAGTCATTCAGGCAGCGCAGGTGGTGGGCCTGGAAATACACCAACAGGCAGTTGGAACGTTATTAATTCCGTTTGGGAAATTAACTTTTCCTTGAGGCTTTTCTGCTCATATAGAAGATTAAAAAAATAAAATACATTAACTAAGACTCAACAGTTTTCGTACGTGGTCACATCTGTCACGTTTATCAAGTATCAAACAGCATGTTAGCATTAAAGCAGCTAAAGGTGACTGTGATTTTTCACGATGGTAGAAACTCATTTGCTTACGTTGCAAATTAGACCGGACACTGATTGAGTCGTTGTTCGTAGTGAGTGTAGGTTTAGAGACTGAAACCACATACTGTGGCAGGCATAGTCGACTAATTTTACATGAAATAATCTGCGTAAAAAAAAAGTCGGCTTCATAATCTGAATCTGCCTGTGAACTAATGCTGCATTCAACACCAAAAGCGAGAGGTGGTGGAAAAAAAAAAAAAAAAAATCTTGAATTTGGAGCGTAGCCTTATTTGCTTGTTGCACCCCTAGATGCCACTGAAAGTTTCACATTTTACCAGAGACTGCCACCTCCTGGCTAACTTTAGACCAGGCGTGGGCAAACTTTTGGACTTTTTGACTCAGGCCGGGTCAGGAGCAGATGCAGGTACAGGAGATGGAGCGTTTGCGTGACTTGATGATAAACGACATGTAAAAGTCATGCGTAAAGGCTATACACACGCCATCTATTGGTGAAACGTGGGTATTGCAGGGAAAAGTTAGAAGTATTAATGATAGTATAAATCAATTATAAAATTTGGTAAAGTTTGGCGGGCCGGATTAAAAAGCTGAACGGGCCGCATCTGGCCCCCGGGGCCTTAGTTTGCCCATGGGTCTTCTGTTTTTATTCCGGTTCGGAAATGTAGCAGCGGTGTCGGCGCCCCCACACATGGCGATGATTAGCTTGCCCAACATCGTTCACAAACTTCTTTGCTTACTTCAGGAAGGTGATGTCGGGGGAAACTCGTTGCTGATTGGATGATGCACAGCGGTGTCGGCACCCCCACACACGGCGATGATTAGCTTGCCCGCCATTGTTCTTTCATTGAACTTCTTCTGCTTACTTCAGGAAGGTGATGAACTGGTTGCTGATTGGATGATGCGGTCTGATGCCGCCGGAAAAGTTAGATTTTTCAAACTTATTTAGTGTCGCCTCAGATGCTCATTTGCTTTATCTGGTTGGTCGCGTCGCATTTGAAGCTCCAATCGCGCAGTCTAAATCCTTGCCTCTAAGTCCACGTCTATCGCTTTTGGTGTCAACGCCCCCCCATAAGAGACATAACGAGTAATCTCTGCAAGGAGAGATAAAGCAGGGACCTGAAAAAAGACAGGGTTCGACACCGAATGTAAATGTGCGGTGCGGTGCGGTGCGGTACGTACGTGGGTGCTGCTGACGCCCTCCAGCAGCAGCCTGGTGATCTCTGCCTGCCTGTCAAACTCGCTCTGGGTCATCCTTAACTCCTGCTCAGCCTGGGGGAAAGACATACCTCGGGTTATAAACCAAGTATAAACGGGAAGGGTAAAAGTGACTCTACTACGCAGACACAACAATAGATCACGTGAAGAGAAAGAAGAAAAAAAAAAAAGAAAAAAAAATCACATATGTTGTATCTGCGAAGAGTTTGACAAATTCACAAATGTAAAAAAACAGCAAAAAAAAAGGTAAATAAATAAAGTTAAACAATAAAAATACGGCGATTTGCAAATTTTGACGTCGACAAAATAAACAAACAAACCAGGCAGGGTGGTGATAATGAAGTTTCCCTTTTTCCTCCTATTGAGTTAAAGGATTAAAATATGAGACCTGAAGGAACAACGGCTTGTTGCGACTTGATGAATATTAAGTTCAGAGCCGGCACCGACTGGGACAGTGTCCTCGCCTCGTCTCCGACTTCCTGGACGGTTTACATTAGAGGCCCAAAGGAGAGGTGTGGAAGAGGAGGGAGCGTCAACGGAGGTCGGTGCCTCTGGAGCTTTTTTTTTTTTTTTTGGTTCGACAGAGACATCTGCTGACACTAGCATGTGTGTGTAGGAGGGTACTGTATGCGTGTGTGTGTGTGTGCGTGCGCTTCAAAAATGGCTCCAACATTCCACTCACCTCTGTCACTTCCTCCGCTCACATCGGCTGCGTGTCTTTTTTTTTGGTTTTGAAAACAGTGACAAAGTGGTTAGAGAGCCACAGCTGACACGGACAACACACAAGACATCACTGCACACTCTTGGTCGGGTGTGAATAAAGGAGCATGGGGGGAAGGCAGAGAAGAGAGAAAACAAACTCACACACACACACAAACACGGCTTTCACACCGTTCACCCACACTGCCCACGGAAAACTTGAAACGCAACACTTCCTTAAAACACACCTAAAAAAAAAAAAAAAAAGATCTTTTTCACCTTCGCAACTTAGAACTGAAACTGGAATGACTCCCGTTGCTAAATTCGAACGGAGAACTGTTAAATACAGAAAAATTGCAGTGCAAAAAAAATTACCGGCGAAGGAACTCTTTTAGGAAAGGGGAAGTGACTCATGTGACGGTGTTTACGCTGTTTAGGAGGTCAAATGTTTTTTTTTTTTTAGTTGAGTAACGCGGTGTGACTGACTCCCTTCTTCTGAAAAGAAAATGTTGTAAATAATGTCAATTCCCAAAAATTGAGGTAAAAAAAAAAAAAAAAAGGTCAGGCGTTATTTGTTACGTGTGTGTGTGTTGACTTACCACAGCTCTTGCATCACCCACTCTGGCTTTCTTTAATCTGGTTTTGGCCGCGTCCAGATCCAGGCGTTTGACTTGCAGGAGTTTTCTTTCTTTCTGGACACAGAGCACATCAGAGTGGGACAAAAGTATTCAAAAGGTCACGCTTTCGACACATTCCGTTTTTAGCGACATTACTTACCATGACCTCAGATCTATTTTTTGCGAAACTAGCGCCTACATAAGGTCTTATGATTAATACGACACTTTTTAAAAAAAAAAAAAGGTGTGACAGTCGCATTTCTTCAAAGGTCGTAACAATGAGGACATAGTTTGTTTTTTGTTTTTTTTGTCAAAGGACTTGCACATCCAACTTAATCCCAGCTTAACAACGCCTCTAGTTATGACAGCCAATCCTGTTTTCCCACTTCCGGTAAATGCTCAATGTGTTCAAGAGAGATATGTGAAGGCGAGATGAGTTCGCTTTCGATTCGTGCGATTGTAGAAGACAGCACATTGTGGTTTGTACTCGATGCTAGCTAACAATTTGGAGAGGCTAGCGGTGCTAAAATCTGAAATGCCCAACAAAGCAGGTCCGGGACCGTTCGCGTGATATTGTCACACATTATTTCTCAAGCTATGGCATTTCGTGGTTACGTCGCCATCTCTACAGAAATGTATTTAAGAAAGTCTTGTTGCTGCATCAACCGGACGTACTACGTTAAAACTCGCCAATCCTCATGGAAACTAGGTGACGAGCAGGGAGGATGAATACGTCGCTAGCAGCGCTATACACCGAAGATAGCTTTGTTTATATTCAACAGTTTGAACGTCATACATTGGATTGTGCGAGATTCGCTTTCTTTCGTTTGTGTTGATTTTTTTGGGAACTTTTTGCCCTTCATTATGGCTCCCAGGCATAAGTCAGACTCTTCTGATGTTTTTATGTCCTAGATTATGATGTTAGCACTGTGCTAGCGTAGGTGGGTGACGTAGGTACTGTATGTAAGTTCTTAGCGAAAATCAAGTTATGACGCATTGTAGGACCTCCAACATCAGTAAAGGACCACCTGGACTGGCTGACTTTCTCTCGATAGATTAGATTAGATTAGATTAGATTAGATTGGATTGGATTGGATGGATAGATATTTATTAATCCCTTGGGAGTTCCCTTGGGTAAATGTAAAGAAAAAAAATAGGAAAATTTATCACGTCTTGGTAGTGTTACCGTGTAGCGTTACCGTGACTGTAAAAAAAAAAAAAAAAAACTTTTCATAATAGTTCTGTTCAAAAAAAAAAAAAAAAAAAAGCTTTTCATAATAGTTCTGTTCAAATTCAAAATACATTCACACAGTGTGTTACATAAGGCCCAACTCACCAGGATGGTTTTGAAGTCGCCTTCCAGAAAGTTCCTGAAAGGCGTGAGGAAGTTGATGGCAGCGCTTTGGATGAGTTCCCGCTCCGCTCCGCCGATCTGCTTTTCGGTCTCACCACATTTTATCAGAGCATTTCCTGAAATGATCGGCAGCACAGACAAAACGTCAGGCCATGAGGGAGAATTTTAAAAAAAAGAAAAAAAAAGAAAAAGTTTGCCCCAGTGAAGCAGAAATTGTTTGGTTTATTCAAGCATTAGGGTTCGCTCACCGTAGGCAGTTCCAGGACCAAATTCATTCCCCGAGTCAATCATAGTCTGGCCCAGCATCTCATGATTGTTCAATCGTGTCGGGACTTTCTTTTCCAGTTTCTCATAAACAAATTCTTCAAGGCGGACATCTGGGGTTGGAAATAAGTAAACTCAATTAAGAGTCACAGGACTACAGTCGCGAAAAAACACTGACCCCATAGAAACGTCTTCAAGCTGACCGACACAAGTCAAATTCTTTGCCGCACCTGATGAAATTCGTCTCACGTCGTCATGTCACATGCAGGGGCCGTGGACAACGCAGACGTCGTTAAAGAGACAAAAGAGCCTTTTGATGGAAAGTGATTTTCATGTACGTAGTTCAACAGAACTGGAGAAAGGCTTGGCTAATTCCGAAACGTCCGCTCTGCTAAAGAAATTGTGAGCATCGTCGTTTTAATAAAGAGAACAGAAGGTCACCTGACTACATGTACTTATTCCCAAAGCCTGTGAGCATCAATTAGTGGCTCGCAGGCCAGAAACTGGCCCAACGAACTATCCAATCGGGCCCGTTACCGGATTCCAAAAATAAATATCAAATAGTTAGATTTGATATGTTAAGAGAATTTTTTTTTTTTTTTGAGTGTTCGGTCAGGTTAAGTCCCTTTACCATTTTTTTTAACAGTTTGAAAACACGAAAAAAGTAACAATCTGAGCACAAAAATATGTATCAAAACCCAGTCTACTACAGTCAGGAATTAATCATGTACCTAACAGCTGGCCTGCCGTGTTTGTTGTGCTACGACAACATGATGTGAAGTGAGGAGGATGCAGCGCAGCTGAGCTAACAACAGTCGCAATCCAGGGACAAACACTGAAGTCTCAGAAATGGCTTCCTTTTCAGAAATAGTTGTAACTGTTATCCACATTCTTGGTGAATGTGCTGTAATAAAGCGACTCTGGTAATGTACAGATTTGAAATCAATAATATAATTCTCCTGGAATAATAACCAAACTATGTACTTTTGTAACAAGGCCAATTCTTGAAAGTGAAAGTAATTATTCATTCAGGTGTATTCTCATTCGTTGAAAAGAAGGAAATATATGGCTGATGTGAGCATAATTACTTTTTCCTGGCTTTGTCCTTTGTAAATATTGAATGTTTTCATTGCGAATCACGTCAAGTCTACGGTTGCTGTGGAGTGTTCTTTATGGAAGAAGCTGACTAGAATGGTCCTGTTGTTGAATGGGGATGACAAAAGAGAGCCTGGGTGGTTTCTAATTTTTGCATTGACTCCGTTAGCCGTTAGTAAAAGAGAGCCTGGGTGGTTTCTAATTTGGCACTGACTCCGTTAGCGGTGCTCTTACTGGGATTGGGCTGCAGTAAGACTTCCGTCTGCTTCATGATCTTTTCCGTCCATTGCTTCGTGTTCTCAGCTCGACCCAGGAGATTCTCCAAATGCGCGTCCAGTTCCGTCTTCTCAGCCTGACCCAGCTTCTCCTCTGTGAACTAAAACAGAACTTGTTTACCACAGTGATGGTGTCAGGAAGCAGTCTCTCTAACTTCATTTCACATGCAGCCGCCGTTGTCCACTGTGGCTTCAACAACAGACTGTCAGACACGGCGACACATTTAAAATGGCGTTGTTAATAACATTTTGTGTTTGGACTGCATTTAGAGGGGCACGACTGCTCTCTTTAATAAAGCCACAGGAGCCGCGGTGACGTTAGCTGTGCAGTTAGCCGAGAGGCTAATGCTACACAAGCTAACGGCTAACTTCTGCAAGAGTTCACCTACGCTACGCACACGGTGAAACGTACCTGTACCGCTCGGGTGAGGAAAGTACCGGCGTCAGCGGCGAGCCGTTTAACGTTAAAGTCCATGGCGCAGCAGGGAAGGCAACACTAAACACAAGCGCTTGTCTGTTCTACAGTCCGACGGCCAACCCAACACAAAATGCCATTGAAGCCGTGTAGGTCCACCCAGCTGTTCCCACAAAGATTATACACAGGCAAGATAGTTCAAAGCAGCAAGTACGTAACAGAATTACATGTATCATGCCTACATAAAAATGCGTAAAAACGTATGAATATTTTGAAAGGTCGCATTTTCTCTCTAAAATTAAGTTTTCATCTTAAATGTCTCTCCAGCAAATGGTTGTTTTGGTTTTTATTTGCTTAGTCTTCCCGTAAAATGAGTTGGCGGTAGTTCGAAAGATGTTTGTATCTTGCTACTTTTTTGGTTTATAAAACCTTTAACGGAAATAAATTCATATATTTGCCAGTGTTAAATTACCGAGAGAAATATAAAAAAATACTTTATTAACGTCTAATTTGCCTTTTATCTAAATAACGCACGTTTTAATTAAATATACTGTACGTTAGTTAATGGTAATTTGTATGTAATTACAGTATTTAAATTTAGTTTCTCTGTATGTGTATTTCATTAAACATACAAATTTAAACTTTAAATTATATGTCAAATTAATTTTACCTTCTGAGCCCCGAGGTCGTCGTGAAGGCATTTTGTTGCCCTCTGCTGGCAGTGGTACTTTGGGGAAAAAATATAAAAAATATATATATTTTTTTTCTGCCTATTCTTTCTAGAACTTGGATTTTCAGATAACATCATTTAAAAACGTTTTAAAGAATATTTTAATGACATATAAAATTAATAATAAATACCTATAATGCACACAATATATATATTTAAAAGTACACATTTTAAGTTGATTGTTTTTCTTAAAACGTTCAATTTTTTAAAATTTTTTTGTCAGTTGTGGGAATATTTAAACAATAGATTTATGTGCTCATACACAAATTTAAATATATTTTAATTATTATGTCATACTAAATGTATAGTGTTTAGGATTTCTGTTACATGCGCAATAATTACATTTAGCACTAATTTAAAAAAAAAAAAATCAACCAAAATACGTTTGTGTACAGGATAATGGGAGGTTCTTCTGCAGAAATAGTTTTTAACTCAGAAAATTAATCATGTTTTTTTCCATATAGAACTCCCTGTCTGTGCAACAACCACTTACACCGTGTATTATATTTGGAATTTACAAACCATTTACCAGTAAACATGGTTGCTTCAGTGTTTGCACCGTCATAAAAAGACATTGTGCACTGCTCGATCTGTAAATGTATTCAACCCGTGTGCTGATGAGCAACGCCGACACAGCCGAGATAATATTTCCACAGCGTGATCTCTTTCGCTACCATCTCCTTTTCCTCGGCGCACGTCTAGAGGAAGCGGGCTTTGGCTGGATGTTGGAAAAACAAAAACACTCTTCAGGTCTGAATGTTATTATGCCAGAACGCAGCTTGCAACCTGCTGTGTGGGAGGAAGTCAAAGAGAGAGGAGGGGAAGGTGGTGGTGGTGGGGGGGACAACAAAAAAAAATTTCAAAATCAAATGAGTTTTTATCATGGTTTTTGCAACATATCTTACAGGCTTCAGCCGAGATTTGGCAAAGTCAAAAAACCTGCTGTACTAACATGTTGTCATGTAAATGTAGGGAGAAAAAAAAATACAGTATCCTGCATGGTTAAGCTTCTTTTTTTTTTCTTCTTCTTCTTAACCAGCAAGCAAAACCTGTAAAAGCAATACAGTAGCTTGCACTCTGCAATTTCATCCCCCCTCTAACCACACTGTGTCAAAGATTTTAAGGCTTTGGCTTTTTTACACTTGGCCGACTGTCAGAGTTGTTGGGGCGAGTGCTTTCAATGCATAAATATGTAAGTCAGCACATTTCGGGAGGCAGAACAACTCCTTTGAGGAAGGACTATGTAGCAGAAGTAAATCTGTGTCTGGTCTTTCACTTCCACTAAAACAAATAGTACTTAGGGGAAAGACTCAAACGAGGGTTTC